ATAGTTTGATTAGATCAGAGTTGAACGTGGAGGTAATATTCGTGAAAATTTTGTTGATTTATTAAAGCCGTTCTGACATAACTTACCAAAGAATGTTTTAGATATCTGTCCATTAAAAAGTGAAAATTCTATCAAATGTCAGAGCAAAGTAAATTAATCAAATAATTGCTCTGAAAATTCGTGCCGAATACTATCAAATAATTCAATCTTTCGAGTTTCAACTCTCTAATATTTTCCCCATTGAATAAAAGTACGGGGGGCCGGGGGGGGGGGGGGGGGGGGGGGGGGGGAAAGGGGGGGGGGGGGGGGGGGAGGGGGGAGAGTAATTATGGAAATTTTCAAAAGACTCACCCACCCCCTTCGCGGTACTAACTGTTTTTTTTTCGGAATAATAATTAAGACACGCCACCCCCTTTTGGCTGGCTTTTTGCCGGTACCTAACTGTGTCTTTGGGTAAATATAAAATAAGATACCCACCCTATAAATTGCCTTTAAAACAGCTTATCAAACATTGGGAAATTGGCAAATTATCCCCACAATTTAGTAGGGTTTTTGATTTTCAATGTAGTCGAAAAGATAAAAAAGTACAACAAAAGGAAAAAAATTCAAAAGATCCAAAAAAAAGGAAAAACCTCCAAACTCAAAAAAAAACCCATCCAAAATTGAAATTTAAGGTAAAATGGGTTTTTTTTGGGTCGGACACCCCCCTTAGTACCATGTTGTTTTTTTTCTTCGAAATGAGCACAGACCCACCACCTAGTACAAAAGTACTAACGTGTTTGAAGAAAATATGACCCACCACCCCAACGTCAAGTACAGGACTAAGTGCATGATACCCCCCCCCCCCCCCCCCTCGAATATGTGACCACCTTTTTTTAGGACCACTTTCTTGACATATTGCAAATATTGCAATTAATGACCAGCACACTTTATGACCAAGAGATCCCATAGTGAAACACATTAACTTTAAGCTCCCTTGACTTTTCACCTCATAACCTGATGTAACGCCTTCGCTTTTACGAAATAGGGTCCATCCGTACAGTATCCACATATACTGTATAATATAAAATAATGATATAGAAAATAAACCAATATTTTAACCATTAAATGGAATTATTTATTTGAAGTTTAACTGACAATCAAGCTAATATTCGTTCACTCCCGGTACAGCAGAAGAAGACATGTGGGAATGCCTTTGTTAGCGGACACATGGCCCTCGGATCTCGCAACTCTGTCGAGTCATGCGCTGCACAGCGTGCTTTACGAGGGTCCCCATTGCCAGTGATTAGGAGATACTTTGCAAAGACCTGATGGAAAAGTCGACCTTCCTTCAGAGGTTAGGATTTTAGAGTTACATCAGAGTTAGAAGTACTCCTAGCAGATACTTTTAGCTAGTTAGAGTTAGAAGTACTCTAATACTCCCAATACATCTAGCTAGTTTAGAGTTAGAAGTACCTAACTCAATAATTACGCTAACAAACAAGTTTAGAGTTAGAAGTACTCTAACTCAATACTCCTTAGCTAGTTAAGGTAAATACTCTAACTCAATAGCTTCTACGCTAGTTCAGAGTTAGAAAGTACTCCTAGCTCGATACTTTTAGATTAAGAGGAGTTATTTTAGGATGGTGTGTGACAGTAAACGGGTCTCGGCAAAGGGACTTCTTAAGTCCAGTACGTTTAACGCCTGTAGGAAGATCGCAGGATTCCCCTAGTCAACGCTACTCTTTCCATCGCATGGCTACGACACTCAAATTTGGACATGGAATGTTTTGCGGTTCCCTATCGCACCACATACAGCAACACATTGTTGCAGAGGACATTGACAGATCATAACTTAGACATTTTAAGCACTTCAGGAGACCAAGACACGTGAATACTTGGAAACAACACTCCCTTGACATCATCGATTGTTTTTGTATTGATCAGAGATAGCCAATCAGCAGATAGACACGGTACATAGACTTTTGGTTTATTGTTTAACAAGCTTTTTTGAATGTATAGTATCGCATCATCAGATCGAGTGGGATTCTTTGGGGTGGGACAGAAGTTGGTTATAATGGACTTTTAAATAAGTGCTAAAGGTGATCAACCCACCTTGTCAATCAGATTGTTAATTGTTTTACAGCCCACGAATCCCAAGTCAGTTCAGAATCCCCGAATAGTCAACCCAATTTTACGATGAGCTACTCGAGGCTAATCAGTTGTTCCTGCTAGAATTTGAAGTAATGGATGTTAGGCGACAATTAATGCCAAACTTGGCAAAAGAAGCCCTGTTGATGTAGACAATGGTTTACATTGAATAAGGTAACAAGGTTTGGGAGGAGGAATGAAAACGTTGAAAGGTTTCTACACTTTCTCCACTGCTATAGGCCTGTTTGCTGCCAACACTTTCATTCCTTCCCATAACAGCAGATACATTACCACACGGACTGGGTTAGGATTCGGGATCAAAGCAACCAGTAAAAGTAAACCTTATTCAACAGATTGACCTTCATACTCTGCAAGTCCAGAAGCAAAGGCAACTGCTAACTGATGCCAGGTCATATGCAGGTACAAAGCACCGCGAGACCACAAACTTGTTGTTGCCAAGGCAGATTTTTCCGCAGCGCTTCAAGTTGTACAAGAAGAGCAGTGCATTCAAAAGACTTATAACACAACAACCTTGTATGAAGCAAACAAGCTCAACACCAATAATCAGCAAGAACTACGTCAGAAACTTGAAGCAAACTGAATCAGATCCTGACTTTACCTCCAACAACACGGAACCGCAATTTGATATGCTTTTTGGTGAAGTTAAAGAAAAAGCCAGCTGATTCCACTGTGGGTTTTCGCGAGCCACACGAAAGAGGAATCATTCCCTCTGACAGACAAGTTGGTGCATGTCAGAAAAAGGAAACAACTTTTACAACAACTGACAACAACGAATACAGAGACAGGACAAGCTCTCAGAGCTAAATTAACAGGCTCCAAACGACAATTACTAAACGGTTGAAAACATTGAGATTTTGAGTAGCAAACAGCCTAGCTGACTCTATAGCCCACATAGACGAAGGACGGAGAATTTTTGAAGCTAGCTCTTCAACTATCAGGCAAACAGAAAACGGTGTCAGGCTCTTGTGTCTGTTTACAAACCACTGACAACCTAATGGTAATAATGAAACGAGACAAGGTGAAAAAAAATCTTTAGTTACAAAATGAGATCCCACCATGTTTAAAACATAATTCTTTGTCGACGTTTCGGCTACATGCCTTTGTCATAAGCAAGCCGTTATATTTTATGTTTCTTTTGGAAAAAATTTGTGATCGTTGTTGGGTTTCAAGATGTTATTTTTTGTTGTTATATTTCGTAGTATTAATAGATTATTTTAACATTGTATCTTTGCAGCTATGTAAGTTTTCAGTACGTCCTGTTTATGACAAAGGCATGTAGCCGAAACGTCGACAAAGAATTATGTTTTAACACACTGAGTGGAGACTCTCATTTCGTCAACTACAATTAAAAATAAACTTATAGTATTAGTAGGAAGTGAAGATACGACCCCTTGTCCCCTTCACATGTTCTAATAATATGATGTACCATATAAGACAGCAAGAATTTAGTTTAATTTCTAAAAGTAAAGTTTATTATTATTAGATTGCTAAGTCCATAATATGTGCGATTATCAAAAAATATCACATTTATAGATTTGAGGCTTTATCCACCCATTTTAAACCATTTTCGGACCCTAAAATCAAAACCCCGATTTACCGCGGGTTTTTGCTTTCTCCCGGTACTGTACTTGCCATGTGGAGCGCAAAAAGCTCTCATTGATAGACTGTTGCCAAGTTGGTAGCTGGCTCTGTGATATTCCTGTAATTATCCTTTAATGACACGGTACACGGTACACGGTACACGGTACACGGTACACGGTACACGGTACACGGTACACGGTACACGGTACACGGTACACGGTACACGGTACACGGTACACGGGCGAGTCTTATACTTTCCTCTCTGAGTTTTTTCCTTCTTCTGCTTTCCTTTTCTTGGGAGGATTGTCCCCGGGGTATTGGGTCCGGCTAATTAGTAGTAGTACTAGTAGTACTAATTAGGCGGGATCTGCTTCGTCGAGAACGCAAGCGGGGATTCGAACTGGTCGAATGTGTCATGATGTTGCTAAAGTGAGAGAACGTTAGATATTTATCCTGGGGTTACCTGATAAAAAACTCAATTTCGATCAAATAGTGTAGTGAGACCTGGAGGGGGTTATTTAAAACATATTTATATAGGTTCTATAGGTATACTATATATAAGTGATACGTTTGTTTAGCAGTATAGTGAGAGATTTTTAAGGCCTAGACAGCAATTACACTTTTGAACTAAATATAAATCTGCTGAGCCACTTCTAATATAAGTCTAAATGAAAAAAGGGATCTGTAAAGGGGTAGAAAGGGCGACGGTCGTGCTTGCCAGCACTGCGATTCGTGAAACTGATAATTGGAAAAGTTTTAATTTTTACATTTAATAAGGTTCTATCATCGGCATGACCTACCCTAATGTCATACGAAATGTGACTCTATACAAACGCTGCGAAGTTGTTCCACTGAGTGAGCGTGTTGCTCGTGCACGGTGGAGAATGCTCGGTCACATCCTCCGCAGTGATAATAACTCACCTGCCCAGCTTGCCTTACATTTTGCTGTAGAGAGTCAGAGTTTGATGAGAGGTAGAGTCGGACGACACCAGTCAAACTTGTTAAAAACTATTTTGAACGATTTAAGTGACAGAAATTTTAGACTTGTAAATACAGACGATTTATACCATTTAAGACTTTTTGCAACAGATAGAAAAGCATGGAGAGAGTTAAGCATGATTTAGTTTATTCTGTGTTATTTTTCTCTTGGTGACTTATCAGGTCATCAAGATGTTCTTTATGTTCTATTTTTGATTTGAATAAAGTTATATAATAAAGGTTCTAACATTATATTATACAGTTTTTAATGAAACACTTTTCAGGTATGGTGATATAACCACTAATCAGTTGAAAACAATGGATCCTGTGGAGCAGCAAACTATATTTACACTTTATGCTATTCTGTGCTTCCTACCAATATTATTTTCAGCAGGTATGCTTTTCTGTGCTTCCTACCAATGTTATTTTCAGCAGGAGCTCCTTCATATCACATGATATTGATCAGACTAATGAATGATTAGGTTCTCAACTCGCGCTGTGATATAATTTTATAAATGTATTTACTTGATAATTAAGATATAAAACAATTAAGATAAGTAATAAATATCGTACATTGAAATATTTGCACGGCTCAATGTGCCATTTATGTCAGGGCTGTTACCTAGACAGCAGGGTTGCTACTTGTTACCGCCACTAGACAACTTGTTCTTATATTTCAGGGTTGTTGCCCCCTCTAGATTGCCTCTTCTGCTGGCTACCAGAAACATGGCTTGTCATATTCAATGGTACATCTGCCAGCACTTCTCTTTTGGGGTTAGTTTATATAGCAAACAATAGCTGTCTTTTAGACAAGGCAAGAAAGTATCTAAAAGTTATGGGTAAAACCTCAATTTAATGTTCCCTTATTTACCGTAACAAGCTTAGAAAGTATCTAAAAGTTATGGGTAAAACCTCAATTTAATGTTCCCTTATTTACCGTAACAAGGCAAGAAAGTATCTAAAAGTTATGGGTGAAACCTCAATTTAATGTTCCCTTATTTACCGTAACAAGGCAAGAAAGTATCTAAAAGTTATGGGTAAAACCTCAATTTAATGTTCCCTTATTTACCGTAACAAGGCAAGAAAGTATCTAAAAGTTATGGGTAAAACCTCAATTTAATGTTCCCTTATTTACCGTAACAAGGCAAGAAAGTATCTAAAAGTTATGGGTAAAACCTCAATTTAATGTTCCCTTATTTACCGTAACAAGGCAAGAAAGTATCTAAAAGTTATGGGTAAAACCTCAATTTAATGTTCCCTTATTTACCGTAACAAGGCAAGAAAGTATCTAAAAGTTATGGGTAAAACCTCAATTTAATGTTCCCTTATTTACCGTAACAAGGCAAGAAAGTATCTAAAAGTTATGGGTAAAACCTCAATTTAATGTTCCCTTATTTACCGTAACACTTTAGAAAGTATCTAAAAGTTATGGGTAAAACCTCAATTTAATGTTCCCTTATTTACCGTAACAAGGCAAGAAAGTATCTAAAAGTTATGGGTAAAACCTCAATTTAATGTTCCCTTATTTACCGTAACAAGGCAAGAAAGTATCTAAAAGTTATGGGTAAAACCTCAATTTAATGTTCCCTTATTTACCGTAACAAGGCAAGAAAGTATCTAAAAGTTATGGGTAAAACCTCAATTTAATGTTCCCTTATTTACCGTAACAAGGCAAGAAAGTATCTAAAAGTTATGGGTAAAACCTCAATTTAATGTTCCCTTATTTTCCGTAACATGGCGACAACTAGCGCTGGCCAGCGCTAGTTGTCGCTATCCAGCGCTAGTTATCGAACTGTTTTCTGCGGTGGCCAGTTGCCCTGGCCATCGCAAACTATCGCGTGCGACAGTGTCGCATAGCCAGCGACAACTAGCGCTGGATAGCGACAACTAGCGCTGGATGGCGACAACTAGCGCTGGATGGCAACAACTAGCGCTGGATAGCAACAATTATCGAACATATATATTTTGCGCTGGCCAGCGTTATCCAGCGCTGGATAGGCGATAGCGACAACTAGCGCTGGATAGCAACAATTATCGAACATATATATTTTGCGCTGGCCAGCGTTATCCAGCGCTGGATAGGCGATAGCGACAACTAGCGCTGGATAGCGCTAGTTGTCGCCATCCAGCGCTAGTTGTCGCGTTTGACTATCACAAAAGAACCGGTAAAACCTCAATTTAATGTTCCCTTATTTACCGTAACACTTTAGAAAGTATCTAAAAGTTATGGGTAAAACCTCAATTTAATGTTCCCTTATTTACCGTAACAAGGCAAGAAAGTATCTAAAAGTTATGGGTAAAACCTCAATTTAATGTTCCCTTATTTAGACAAGGCAAGAAAGTATCTAAAAGTTATGGGTAAAACCTCAATTTAATGTTTCCTTATTTACCGTAACACTTCCCTTTTCCCTATTTTTTTAAATGACTCGATTGACATTCAGTGGACAAATAGATATGCATGTTGAAATAATCAAATAGATATAATACATGTAAGAATTTTTCTATGAGCATCATTTTCTTTTGATTTTTAACAAATCTATGAACACTAACAATTAATTTTGTTGCAGGAGGATCCTTTTAACTATCTAACTTCTTTTCACTTCAGAACATTGGTGCAGTTGGTAGTAACAGTAACTCTGACAGCTGTGATACATAATGTACCACACCACAATTTGACATGGCTTGTTGCTACAGTTTCTGCTCTGCTCAGTTGCAATGTTCTTGCGTTACAGAGAGGTTAGTTGGAACTTCCTTTCGGACTCAATATTTTACAAGGATATTTTACAGGATTCAAATTAATACTGCATGGTGATATAAATCATCAGTACTAAAATTCAAATCTGATGTATAAAAATACCGTTAATAATAATATGTTTCCTAAGTCCAAACAAAGACAATATTTTAAGTTTTCTCAGAACATAAACAAATAAACACAGTTCGGCTATGCTGGGTGCTACCCTCCAGCTATAGTCAAGCTTGTCCCCCTGAATCCTGATAACATAGCGAACTGTTTTATGCATAAATTATGAAACATTATTAACTACACTTATGCAACTTCTATAATGAAATGATATTTCAATCGAATGACAGAATTGGTCATTTTTTATTCGAATAAAGCTGTATAATAATTGGACTATTTCGGTATGAACTTGTGCCATTCTTTGTCAAATTTTCCGATTCGATCGGTAAATATCCATTGTCCTCATACCATACACTATAAAACTAAGAAAAAGGATAGTTTGCGTTGGAATCTGTCTTTATCCAATTGAATGCTTTAAGTTTACGGAATTATGGGTTGAAAGGAGAAGATACTAGGCACTAGGCAGGCAGGGGTTTCAAGGAATCGCCAAATGAGAGTAGGTATTTACCACTGATGAGAATTTCATTCATCATTGACCCAGAAAGTTAGACAGTGTATTATAACATATTATTTAGTAGATACTAAAACTGTGCTTCAGGTCATTTTTTGTCTCAACTGTGCCCAAAGTGTGCCCCAGCTGTGCCCCAACTGCATCTGCCCCAAGTGTGCCCCAAGTAACTTTATGCCCCAACTGTGCCCCAGGGAATACAATATTGTGCCCCAACTGGGGCACAGTTGTGCCTAGCTAGATTACCAAATTGCCCTTTTATGTTTAATATTATATTTATTATCAGCAGGAGAGCCTGTAGAGTGTACAGTTGTATCAGGTGGCCTTCTAACTTGCCCCAACAATACCAAGGATTATACGTAACAGGTTTTTAAGTTCCAATTATTCATCAGGGGTTTATAAAAGTCTAAAGTTTTGGATGAGCTTAGCGTTCAGTACCTTCATCAGTTTGACAATATCTATCACATCTCCTTTAATGGATATACAGGTGTGTTTACCTTTATCTCTTTATTAAATCATGTTTCGATATATAACTGTATAACTACTGCGTGACTTGAATTTAAATATTATTATTATTCCTATTGGTAATCTTTCTTCGCTCTTATGAGTGTAGTGGGTCGATCATATAGTTTGATAGTTGGTGACGAAGTGAGAGTCTCCACTCAGTATTGACACTGTGTTATTACTGAGTGGAGACTACTAATAGGAATAATAATAATATTTAAATTCAAGTTACAAATTATTCAACAGGATCATACCAACAAAAATTATTTAAAAGATTAAATACTGAAAGATATATTTAAAATGAGATATATATTTTTTAAATTTTTAAAAGATTGAATAATGGTAATCTGTGCCCATAATACAAGTTGTCCCAACATTTATTGCAAGCATCTTTCACCTCCTTAAGTTCATTAAAGCTATTAATAATCGTATTTCTTACACCTAAAGGCTAAATCACTTCTTAGAACAGATAACAAGTTCATCCTCGGTCTGCCTAATCTACCAGCAAACAGATTGTCAGATTGAATGGCGAATGCACCCCCCTGCTGAGCAGTGCCACTTGAACTGTTTTACTGGCTCCTGAGAACAGGGGTGTAGGAATGATTTTCTTCATGGGGGGGGCCAAATTCTAAATATTTTTTGGCGCTTCGCGCCAAAGCCGGATTTTCGAGGGTAAGGACAAAAGGAAATTGCAGCATGTGCGGTATCGCGATTTTTCACCTTTGCCGCGACAAATCGCGATTTTTAAAATCCTGGCCTCACAACAAATCGCGATTTTTTCAGTTCCCGCGTCAAATTGCGCATTTTCCTTTAAATCTGAGGACCAAATTCGCGTATTTTCCTTCAAATCTGTGGGCCAAATATTACGTTTTCTATAATTAGTAAATAGTACATGAAACCAATCAGTATCACATCCACAACCTTCCGATTGTAGGTACGGGACTTCAAAAAACCGAAAAATATATTTTCGGCTCAGAATGATCAGGGTAGCATGAAACATGAACAAAAGTAATTTCCAGAAAAACTTTGAAAAATTTTGACTTAGAAAAATTTTCGGTCCGAGTCATTCTCGTCTCTCGATACGTACCTCTGAAAGCAGAGCTCCCGCGTCCGAGCTCGTATTGCGAAGGGTAGGCCTGCCTTCCGAGGTCGCATTACAAAGGGGCACCCCGAGTCCAAAATCGTATATCGAAGGGTAGGTGCGGACTTCGAAAACCGAAAAAAATATTTTCGGCTCAGAATGATCATGGTAGCATGAAACATGAAAAAAAGTAATTTCCAGAAAAACTTTTATTTGAAAAATTTTGACTGAGAAAATTTCGGTCCGAGTCATTCTCGATACGTACCTCTGAAAGCAGAGCTCCGGCTTCCGAGCTCGTATTGCGAAGGAGAGGCCTGCCTTCCGAGATCGCATTACAAAGGGGCACCCTCGAGTCCAAATTCGTATATCGAACTTCGAAAACCGAAAAAAATATTTTTGGCTCATAATGATCAGGGTAGCATGAAACATGAACAAAAGTAGTTTCCAAGAAAACTTTGAAAATTTTTGACTTAGAAAATTTCGGTCCGAGTCATTCTCGATACGTACCTCTGAAAGCAGAGCTCCCGCTTCCGAGCTCGTATTGCGAAGGGGAGACCTGCCTTCCGAGCTCGCATTACAAAGGGGAACCCTCGAGTCCAAAATCGTATATCGAACTTCGAAAACAAAAAAAATATTTTTGGCTCATAATGATCAGGGTAGCATGAAACATGAACAAAAGTAGTTTCCAAGAAAACTTTGAAAATTTTTGACTTATAAAATTTTCGACTTAAAAATTTTCGGGGGAAAAATTTGTTTTCCCAAAAATTTTTAGAAACTTAAATTAAAAATTTGGCCCTTTTTGGCCCCTTGGCCAGATTTCATGGGGGGGCGATGGCCCCCCTGCCCCCCCGCTTCCTACACCCCTGCCTGAGAATATGGCCGAACATCTTCCAACGCCGATACTCAATAATCAATATGCTCAGACACAGGGGGGTAACGTTGCGGCACTGCTCAGACACAGGGGGGTAACGTTGCGGCACTGCTCAGACACAGGGGGGTAACGTTGCGGCACTGCTCAGACACAGGGGGGTAACGTTGCGGCACTGCTCAGACACAGGGGGTAACGTTGCGGCACTGCTCAGACACAGGGGGGTAACTTTGCGGCACTGCTCAGACACAGGGGGTAACGTTGCGGCACTGCTCAGACACAGGGGGGTAACGTTGCGGCACTGCTCAGACACAGGGGGGTAACGTTGCGGCACTGCTCAGACACAGGGGGTAACGTTGCGGCACTGCTCAGACACAGGGGGTAACGTTGCGGCACTGCTCAGACACAGGGGGGTAACGTTGCGGCACTGCTCAGACACAGGGGGGTAACGTTGCGGCACTGCTCAGACACAGGGGGGTAACGTTGCGGCACTGCTCAGACACAGGGGGTAACGTTGCGGCACTGCTCAGACACAGGGGGGTAACGTTGCGGCACTGCTCAGACACAGGGGGGTAACGTTGCGGCACTGCTCAGACACAGGGGGGTAACGTTGCGGCACTGCTCAGACACAGGGGGTAACGTTGCGGCACTGCTCAGACACAGGGGGTAACGTTGCGGCACTGCTCAGACACAGGGGGGTAACGTTGCGGCACTGCTCAGACACAGGGGGGTAACGTTGCGGCACTGCTCAGACACAGGGGGTAACGTTGCGGCACTGCTCAGACACAGGGGGCGGCACTGCACAGACACAGGGGGGGGGGCCGCTGCTCAGACAGCATTTCAACATTACATATTTTGTATACCGTATCGTTCCTGATCATCCCTTTTGGCCACTTGATGTTCAAGATTGTCTTTAGGTGTCACCGGTGAAGTGTATCGATTTTGTCCATGGTGGCTTTTTTAGGACTTCAAATGTTCGAGTTGTATAATAGTAGCAAGGATACCACTTGGGGCGTCATATCATAGAGCCTCAGTTAGCTACACTGACTACACACTTGTAGAGCCTCAGTTTTCTTTCAAAGGATATCTTATACCCGGATAGCCACACTTTCTTAAACTTTTTAAAGGCTAGGTCAGCTAATATTCTTCTCCTTTGAATGTCTTTCTCGGTGCAATGAAGAGACCCCAGGGATTTGGAACCATGGGTCATTATTAGCTAATGGCTGACCATTTTTGTCCATGTCCAATTTGTTCGCCACAGTACTGAACTCTGTTTTGCTTTCATTCAGTTGAAGGTTCCAGTCCGTTAGAACTTCCTTCGCTGCAGAAAAGAATGTTTTATAAGTTTCTCAATGTCTTCGTCGGCAAAATCACAACCATCTGAGTATTCAGGCACTCAACAAATCAACTACCGAGAATTACCTAAGGAATACGTAAAACTATACATTTAGCACACTAGTCACTATCAACCATATGCCACATTTTTCACTGCCCATTCACTGTCATATTGATAACGCTAGCAGGTGCTGATAAGACATGGGCTCAGTTATTTTATTTTATTTTATTTTATTTTATTTTATTTATTTATTTATTTTTTTAAACTTCAGACAAGAGGACTATACTGATACAGAGCACTATACTATCGACTCTGCACTGCCCACTAATCGTTAATCCGACACAAGTAGCTTATAAAACAGTCCGTGTGATCATCTGTTGTATCAAATCCAATTATTTGTCACTATGTTAATAAATCAAGTTTTTAATTTTTTAAGTTTTGGTTTTTTTTAATGAATAAACGTAGAAGGTTACGTACATCATAATTTTCAATTCTCATATTCACGTATATTAAATAAAATTATGTGGTTATGTATCATATATGATTTTGTAAACATTGGCCGGTGTACCAAAAACTGGTCCCCAAACTTCCACAACCATCTTAATATTCCCATATTTAAATATACAACAACAACAACAACAAAAATTTAAATATACAAATCTATAAATGCACTCATTTACGCTAGGTACATGTGAGATATGTTAGTTCCATCATTAATTTTCATGCATTTGTCTGACAGTTTTTTTTTTCAGACTGAAAAGTTAGAATACATTTGTCTGATTGTTGTGGCAATGTCCTCTCTACTCATTATGATTCAAAATGTATACTGTTTCAACCTGATCAGGAATCCTTTGTTTTGTGCGATTGATGCATCAAAATCAATAAAATGGGGATTCAAGTAAGTTTCAAGGAGAATTTGTTTACGTAATCAAGTAAGCAAATAAATACTAACAAATAGCGGTCTCTGGAGGTGTGATTATCAGAGCACCATTATCAGTATGATATATGATATATACGATGATATCGTGTAATGACATACTTAACAGTTAACGTATTTCAGGCTGTTGAATATGACAAAGTTTTCAGTGTGTCCAGTTGTGTTATCCCTTTATTACAACCATTTATTTAAAAGCTGTCATAGTTACACTTGGTTCCAAACCGTCCTTCTGGGCAGAGCATTCAGGTAACTTTCTTTGTATATTAGATAATTCATCTTAAAAACTACATTCCCTGATAAGGCTCGAGATTATCACTGAGGCTCGTGCAGTGGCCGCCCTTAATAATACCACCCTTAATAAAAATTTATCTTCTCCTACATTTTTTTCAGCAATCACCCTCAAACTTTTAGGATATGTTCTAGGGATCATTTAGAAGATTTGACTCGAGCCGAAATTTTATTCGAATTGAAATCTTGGACCTCAAAAAATCGTCAAAAAACGAGGTCCAAGATTTTCAAAATCGAACAAAAAGTTTTTAAAGGCCTCTCAAATTGCCCGCCCTTAATGCCACCCTTAATTCCACCCTTAATGCCGCCCTTAATGCCGCCCCTTAATGCCGCCCTTAATTCCACCCTTAATTCCACCCTTAATGCCGCCCCTAATGGCGCCCCCCTTAATACCACCTCTTAATGCCGCCCTTAATTCCACCCTTAATGCCGCCCTTAAGGGGGCAGGGGGGTCTTTATGAAATTCCTCTCGAAATTAATTTTATAGTTGTTTCTGATAGAGGGGAGTAATATCTACCAGATGTTTTTGGTCCCATGGAATTGGCCCTGAAAATCGAGTCTAAAAATCTATCTTCTCCTACATTTTTTGAGCAATCACCTTGAAACTTTCAGGATATGTTTTAAGGACCATTTAAAAAACTTCTGGTCTATCAAATTTTAAAATAGGCCTTAGAAAAGTTTTTATTCGATTTTGAAAATCTTGGACCTCGTTTTTTGACGATTTTTTCAGGTCCAAGATTTTCAAAATCGAATAAAAACTTTTCTCAAAAGGACCCCCCCCCCCCCCCCTAAAAAGACCCCGCCCCCCTCCCCCTTAAGACCCGTAATGCCCCCTTAATAATACCTACCCTTAATATAACTGTATCGTCCCCTACATTTTTTCAGCAATCAAATCACCCCAAACTTTTGATATGTTCTATCATTTTGAAGATTGACTCACCATTTTATCCGAAGTGAAAACTTGTCCGCAAAAAATCGTCAAAAAACAGGTCCAAGCTTTCAAATCGAACAAAAATTTTGTAAAGCCACTCTAATGTCGACCTTAAGCCGCCACCCTTATTCCACCCTTAATCCCCCGTATTCGCCCTTAATGCCCCCTTAATTCCACCCTTAATTCACCCCTTAAGCCCCCCAAGCGCCCCCTTAATACCACTCTAAGGCCGCCCTTAATCCACCCTTAATCGCCCTTAAGCAGTCTTAGAAAATACCTCGAAATTAATTTTATAGTTTTTCTATAAAGTAATATCTACCAATCCGTTTGCCCATACATTTTTTTTCCTACCAATTATTGCCGATCAAGAGTAGTACCTCATTGTAAGAATGCGCTTCGATTTTCAATCCCGCCCCTAAATCAGCTAAAAATCTATCCATCTCCGACATTTTGTGACAATCCACCTTGAAACTTTCAAGATGTTTTAAACCATTTAAAAAACTTCTGTCTATCAGAATTTTTTAAAATATGCCTTAAAAATTTTATTCGATTTTGAAATTCTACCCTTTTGTACATTTTCAGTCCAAAGTTTCAAAATCGAATAAGAAACCTTTTCTCAAAATCCCCCCCCCCCCCCTTAAAAACCCCCCAGCCGCCCTTAAGCCCCTTAATCCGCACTATTGCCCCCCTTAAGTGCCCCCATATGCCGACCTTAATACCTCCCTTAATTCCACCCTTAAAATGCCCACTTGATCCGCCCTTAATATCACCCTTAATACACCCTTAATCGCCCTAATGCCCCCGAATGCCGCCTTAATCCACCCTTATAGACCGCCCTTATTAACCCCCTAATCCACCCTAATGCACACTAATTCCACCTAATCCGCCCTTAGCGCCCTAATATCACCCGTATTATCACCCTTAATTCCCTTAATCCGCCCTAATCCGCCCTACCATAACCAAAAATGCAGAGATAATTAATAAATAAAGAGTTGTTATTCCTTTGGTTTTGATCTCATTCGATAGTCGTATTTCAAATTTTTGATGTTCTTAATAACTCCTGAAGACATTCATTAAATAAATAGATAAAACTAATCGAGCAATTTGTAGTCACTCAGCTAGCACTTACACAAAAATCCAAAAAACGAGTCCAATATTTTCCAATCGCACAAAAATTTTCAATTTACTTCTTACATGCGCCCCCTCTCCTCACCTCCCCTAACTAACACACTAAACAGAACCCACTCCAACTCAACCACGACAACATTACCTTGAAACGATCACCTCTACACACTCTCTAGCAACTCCGAATGGCTAGAATCATCACACTGACAACAACAACACCACCCTGGAAAGAATATTCAAGCTCCCATTATTGTACTGTCTACCAGACAGAACTCACGCAACATTGAACCTCAATAGCTCTCATCCACATCCTATTCACACATCTTATATTCCTGAACTATCGCTCCTCCATACTACATTTCCTCCTTTCAACAGACAAACTCTAAACTTTATACAACCCTGAAACCACACATCGAAACAACACTCTAAATCCATGAGACCAGCCTAATATTGGTTTAATGAAACAAGGTTATCTGGCCAACTTCACTCCACGAACTCTTTTGGAAATGCCAATCCCTCATCTTACATCAAACACAAATCAAACAACAAATCCACCAACGAAATCAATATCTGTTACAAGGTCCCTAAGTCACACCAAACTGAACACTTGCCAAAAGCACACCAAATAACAATTTTAACACACTCACACAGCAACAATACAAACATAAAACCCCTCCACCTAAACACCGGCCACTTGGCTTAACAAACACCTCCCCTCACCAGCCCCAAAGCAACACCATGCGTTGTCCAGTCGTACGAAAAACTTCTCTCACTTGCTACAGGCCCCTCTATTCCCAAATAAATCAATACTTTCACTAACTACCTCCTCATCACATATTCACAACCACCACGTATTACCTCAATCGTCAACTTCACAAACCCACCATACCTTAATAACCAAAGAACTGATCACAACTCAACTTAGCCTTTAACACTTTACATACACCTATTAACGATTTATAATCTCATGCTTTCCAAACGCGTAGCCCGTCAATCATTACCACCACCTCCTCCACAATTCAAACTGTCTCCCGAACCCCCCCCCTCATCCCAGAGTAACAAAGCTTCTAAGCATCCTATTGCTTTCATGCCCACCTCTCTTCAAAAAAATAAAATAAAAAAAAAAAAAAAAAAAAAAAAAAAAAAAAAAGTCTCCCTCCTACTTGATCCTCTCCACATATATCTTCCTTCGCCTAATTGTAACCCCGCTCCATACCTACCTTCTTTACTTTGGCTGCAGCGCAATCTATTATCGACTACTTAAGAGTGCTGTCATCCCCCACACAACAACCATTTTTCCGAGGCCTACTCTGTACCGTTTACCTTGCGTGTGATCCATCAGATATAATTTATTCTTTCTTCTCATCCTCACCACATCCAAACCTTCATCTACCCGTACAAAAGCAACAGCAAGTTACCCCCTGAAGACATCACAAGAACAATAAAACCAGTATTGCAGCGATCTCCACCAGACTATCCTTATAACCCTCAAATCTCGTGTCATCTCGCTGATTTGCCATCCCTCAAGTCCCTAAACAATAACACAGCCGCTTTAAATCCTGATTTTAGTTGAGTCTTAAGCTCGACATACATAGACGCTAACTATGAGAATCCCAGACCTTTTTGAATCGACTAGATTCGGTTCAATTTTCATTCCACGGATGATTCGCACCCAATATGGAAATTGCGACCTTTTCATGTTTTTTTTTTTTCTTTTTAGACCGTCCACATTGATTCCATATTCTCTTTAGGACTTTGTAAAATTTTTAAAACCTCTCAAATCCTCCCGAATGCCACACCTTAATTCCACCCTTTAGCCGCACTTAATGCCCGACCGTAATCCTCTTAATGCCCCCTTATTACCCCGATTACGCCCTTAATCCACCTTAATTCCACCCTAATCCCCCAATGCCCCTTAATCCGCCCTAATACCATGCTCTTTGCCGCCCATGCCGCCCTATGTCATTTTCACCCTAATCCGCCTTAACAGTCTTTATAATGCCTCTCAATTAATTTTTTTTTCTATAGATTAATATTCCAAGCGTTGCCCAGTGACAAAGTTTTTCCTACCGAAAGGAATTCGCGATCAAATCAGCGCTCATTTATTGTATTCGCACGATTTTCAAGCCCGCCCCTATATTCATCGTAAATCCTATCTCTCCTACTGTTTTTACATTCTACCTTGAAACTTTCAGATATTTTTTTAAAGAACATTTAAAATACTGCTTCATCAAATTTAAACAGAGCCTGAAAAAATTTTATCATTTTGGAAAAACAATCTTACCACTGTTTTTACATTTTGTCAGTCCAAGAGTTCAAAAATCAATAAAAAACTTGTCTCAAATAACCCCCCCCCCCCCCCCCCCGCCCCCTAATAAAGACCCTCCCTGCCCCCCTATAATGGCCCCTTAAATCCACCTTTAATACCCTTAATCCGCCCTTATTACCCCCATAATTCCACCCTTAATCCCCCTTAATCCACCTTAAACCCCCTTAACAGCCCTTAATCCGCCCTTTATCCCCCTAATTCCCACTGTATGCGCCCTATATCTACCCTAATACACCCTTAATCGCCCTTAATCCGCACCCAGATTGCCTCACGTGAATCCCCCCGAATCCGCCCTTAATTACAACCTATAGATCACCCTTAATGCCGCCCTTAATCCCCCATAATCCACCCTTACAAAACCATAAGTCAGGAGTTAATTAATAAAAAATGATTTGTTCATCCGTGTTTGTTTATTGAGTCTCATTCGTATTTCTCTTTGATTCAAATTTTTGATTGTTTCTAATAACCATATAACAATCTATGGAAATTAATATCTAATAACTATCACAATGGAGATCTACTCAACGAGCACACTTGGCACACTGCACAAAAAGTTAGTTC